ATCAAATAAAATTTTGGAATCATATACATATCTCAAAATAATAAAAGAAATTGAACTTTCCTCAATTTTAACTTCAAAATTTTTTTCAAAGATTAAATGAGCCCTAAATGCATATCTATTTAATCAAAATTAGTGATAAACTCTTTAGATATTATGCTAATTGTAAAAAAATTATTTGAAACATTATTTTTGTTATTTTATATGAACTTGGAGAAAGCAATATACCAGATAACGACTGCGACCAACGAATAAGTGATTACAAATCCAATATTCGTCAATGTGATGATCAGATGTGGTGTTAACAACGATAATAACAGCGATGAGGGTGGTTTGATGACGCTTTTTCATCGCTTATATCAAACTGGTGTTAATCGGGAAATTAATATTTTTATTATACCATGATTGACACGAGAAAATTATTAAAAACACTAAAAATTTTAAATTGGATAAAATTTTAAAATAATTAAAATACACTAAAAAAATACGTTTTTTAATGATTTCAATCATATCCATATATTTTTTCTAGATTGATGGATGACCACTATGAAATGGATCTCTAATTAGGCTTATCTACAATGATCAAAGAATTTAAAAACCTAATGGCAACATTAATTTTACATTATATAATGGTTTTACACTTTTACCAGGTCGTTCTCTTCATTAAAATACTATAATTTTCTCATGTTAATTGACCCAATATTTTTCCTTGAATTTTTTTTTATTTAAGGCAACATAATACTGAAATTAATAGATGCATTAAAATCCCCACTAGAATAATCTACTGAATATATTTGAAGAGGAATTTTTTTACATACATATCACAATTTTTATTTATTTTCATATTTAATATTTAAATTTAAATTTAATTATAAAATATTGTTTTGCCTCAATCACATTAAAATGATGCATGAAAATATATATCTCATTTTAAAAAACAATTATTTGTAAATTTTTACGTAATTTAAGTACTTAGGTATTATAAAAATAAATATATAATTCATAAAAATTTTATGATAGTAATATATATATATATATATATATATGCCATTATTACTGGCTTTCATAATCCTTGGTCATAGCATCAAGACAGTTAAGAATAAATAAACAAATAATAATATAATATTATTAAAGTAAAAATAATAAAATATTATCTATAGAGAGAAGAGAGATTTTGCCTTCAAACTCTTGCTAAATTAACAAGTGGACCGTTGAAAGAGAAAGAGAGAAAGGATTGGACAGTTAAGACAAAACTCCTCAAATGCTATTTTGCTAGCTACATTAATTAATTATTTAATTATGATGTCAATATCTTAGAGAGTAATTAAATACATTGCATTCATATTTTATTTGTTTATAAAACAAAATTTATGTCATTTTTTAAGCTCCACAATGAAATCGATAGAAATTTGACACAAATGAAAAATATAGATTAAATTTTGTTATAAATTAGACATTTGAATGACATTTTTTTAAAAAATAAAGAAAGATGAATGTTAATTTTATAAATTGTTAAGATTTGAGTGTTGATTTAAAGTCTAAATATTATAAATTTCAATTATTTTTATCAATTAAATTCTACTTCATAACTAACATACAAATATTGCTTCTTGTGTATAATCATTTAAAGGTTCGTGTTGAACAACTTTTTTATTGCTTCTTAAATCAATTTTTTAGTAAAAAATTGCTTTAAAAAGCAATAAGAAGCTGTCCCAAACAAACTGAATCTTAAAAAGCACAGCAAAACTTCATTTCATTTTAAACAGTTCATTTATTAAGGAAATATCTACTCAAAATTATTATGCAAAATACCATCATGTAATTGATAGCATATATATCTCATTCATATAAGTATTCCTAAATGATTATACATAATATATAACTGTTCAGATTTCTGAAAGTGTTTTTTCCTAGCTTAAATAAAGTATCAAAGATCCTAATCTCTCCTATGAGCAAAATCTTTGATACCAACATCATAGCTTAAAAAATCATCAATCTCCACATCCTATGACCAAACAAGTGTAGTTCATCTTCATCAACTTCAACTACCTAAAACCCACTCAAGCTCCCTACTACCTCTTACTACCGCCCATCACAGGGGAAATTATTGGGTCAGGTCACCGGACACAGCTTACGTTCAATATTCACATACTAAGCAATACTGAGCTCGGTACTTAGTACCAAGCAGTACTGAGCAGTATCGAGCTCGGTACTGCTCAGTACGAGTAGGAGGTGATGTGCGCATTTTCATTGGCTCTGACACATCCAGTACCTAACCCAATAATTTCCCCCATCACAGAGACCACCACAAGGTATATCTCAAAATCTTCAACTCAGCTCACTCTATTTAAGATTCGTTTGGGACAACTTTCTTACTGCTTTAAAAGCAGTGAAAAGCTATCCCAAATGAAGCCTAAGTTAACTCTTGCTTCACTCTAGTTCACCTCCATGTTTGAACCTCTAATGGCTTACATTGTCTCCTCCAGCTCTTCTGATGTTGATGTGTGAGGCAAACTTACCTCAATATATTTTAAAGCATTGTCCTTAACCAGTGTAAACCCCCGCATCGCTTTACACGGACCAACACTTTACTCAGAGCTCAATTTTGAATTAAGTTTCAACCGTACAACAACATTTAAAAAAAAAACATTTATCATGCGAATTATATTATATAGTGATAGTAAGGCGTCGATACCTTTGGAAGATAAGAAGTGACCAAATCGAGCAATAACCATCTAAATCATTTAAATGTCATCCACGTTTTTAATACTTTCTAAATTGTCTGGATAAACGAAATTCTGAAAGAGAACAAAGCAATGATGAGAAATTATTATAACAACATTTATTGATTAAATATGTTAAAGAAAATTAAAAAAACATTGTACTTTTTGATAAAATAAATTTCTGCTAAAAAATCTTTAAGATTTTATTTGAAATAATTTTCTTCTTATTTTTTAAAATATTTTTTCTAAAACAAATATTTCTTAAATATAACTAAAAATTAATAATAAAAAAAACAAAATTTATTATGCACCCAAAAAAAGTGCTTTGAATTAGTTTCTGAGAAAAAAAAGAAGCTTTGATAGAACAAAAAATTATCCCCAATTAATTCGTGAGATAATAAAAAAAATTAGAATGCTTTTAAATATTAAAAGTTATATAATAATATAAAAATATATTAATAGTTTTAAAAATTAAATTAAGTGTTATACCATATATATGAGGCTAATTGATTATTTATAATTAGAAAGGCAAAATTATATGACTTTAATTGCCCCAATAATATCAATAATTGGACAGAAATGGCCGCAATATTTTTGTTCGGAGATCAGAAAGATGATCATAACTTCATTTCGAATCAAATTATACTTATCATAAAAATGGGATTCCTATTGCATTCCAATGCGAACAATTAATGAGATAAAAAGAAAAATCTATGTTGGAAAACAAACATGATTTGAACACTACAAATAATATTAGTTTTTTGTTTGAACCAAAATTAAATATCTATTTCAAATCTTTAAATTAAATTTTTTTATTGAAACTCTGTTTTAAAAATTAATAAAAAAGCCGTCTCAAACAAAACCTAACACTTAGGCTTCGTTTGGGATGTTAGGTTTCGTATGGGACGGCTTTCTTGATGCTTTTTAAAATAGGCTTTTAGTATAAAAATTAAAAAATTTATACTAAAAAAATACTTCAAGAAGCAGTACGAAATGTGTCTGACGTCCCAAACGAACCTTAGTTTGGGGTGACTTTCTTACTACTCTAAACAGTAAAAAAAAACAATAACAAACGAAGACTTAGTACTAGCCCCACACTTCAATCACAAGCAAATTTCAGAATAAATGACTACCAATTTTTCTCGCAAAACAACAACAACAACAACAACAACAAGCCTTTATCCTACCTACATGGAATCTGCTACATGAATCCTTTTCTCCATTATGTCCTGTTAAAAATCAAATTCTTGTTTAAATCTAATAAAGAAAGACAATTTATAATATTTTCTAACCAAATCTTTTTAGGTCTAGCTCTATTTTTCTTAACATAAGTCAAATCTAATATCTCTACTTTCCTAACCGAGTCATCAGAAAGCCGCCGTTTTATGTGACCAAACCATCTAAGGCGACTCTCTCTAATCTTAGATTTGACTTATGAAAATGCTAAATGATAAATTGCATTAAAAACCAGAAAATGATATATACTTTCCTAAATCTCTTTATTTCTCCTGAAAATGCTATTATATAAAAACCAGAGTTTGGTGCAGCAAAATTGGCATTCAATAAAAATGCTAAATGATAAATTGCAAGCAACAAGAAATATAAGTATTTTATTTTTCATAATTGCTGAACCGGCTAAATGATCCAACATTGCGTTAGTCAAGTTGAGACAAATACCAGGCTATAAAAAACACACTTACCCGGCCATCTACTCTTCTTCGTTTAATCTTAAAAAAAAAAAAAAGAACTGAAAAAAAAATAATAAAAATTTGGGGGATTTACATACATACCACTTTATTTTATGCTATTTTCATATCTAATTCCTAAAACATTAATATTACATGTCTACCACCCATAGAACAAATTTGGGTGCATTGAATGAAATATTAAAGTATATAAGATGGTATGAATGATAGAAAAGAATTATAGGAGTGATATATTTGATATTAAAGTTTTATATGAGTGGTATGCATGTAATATTAATGTTTTGAGTGTTAGATATGTAAATAGCATGAAATAAAGTGGTATGTATGTAAATTTTCCTTAAAAATTTTAGGGACAGATGCTGCATAACATTATATTAAGAATGTATATAAGCTAATTGATCAAATGACATCATTAACTAAAATTTCATAAATAAAATTTTAAGCTTATGTTGACATTTATAATATTTGTAAAATTTGGCGACACCTAAAAACCAGATATATACTTCTTGATGACTGAAGCCGGTTATTCTAGATAATATTATCTTATGTGTATTCCATCTACAACACTTTCATGCAGCTTAATACATTGATGTGACATTATTCAATTAAAAAGGGAAAGTATAGTCTCAAAACTGCAATTTGAATAAAAATTAGTTGTTTATCAAAAGCATCCAAGTGAGCAATTTAGTATAGAAAGAAATAGCTGCTGCTAATTAGCTGTCCTTAAGCTGGTTAAATGCTTGTTTTGTAGATTACTTGCCAATAGATAGTCCATACCTTGTCAATAGGCAAAGGGTTATTTCTGACTCGTCCGTTATAAGGAGAAGTTGCAATGAATTTGATGCGAGTTCCTTATATGTCTCTGTTAATTGTCCCTCAACTCTTCATCAATTTGCAGTCTATGGCTTCGTTTGGGACGTATTTCTTATTGTTTTTTAGTTCAAAAATTTTAATTTTTTACTATAAAGCTGTTTAGAAGCAGGAAAAAAGCTGTCCCAAACGAAGCCTATGTTGCCATCTGAAAGAAATGCAAGTGGGAGGTGATCAGGAGCATATCAAAAATAGGAGTTCTGCAAAAGGTAGGAGAATTATTCAACGTTAAGTGGGATAATTAATCAAAAGTTAGGACAACTGTTAAGAGTTCCCAGGAGGTACTTGATACTGAACGATTCAAAGTTAGAGATCCTAATGCAGCTAATATGCGGCAAAGTGTGTACTCTTACAATAATAAAAAAAAAATTTAATGATTCACATGTTAATAGTAACCAGATCAATACAACTCACTTCTTTAAAAGAAAGCACGCATTAGTGATCTTTAAACTTGATAGACAATGAAACAATTGTAAAAACTTAAAAATTTTGACAAGAATTTGAAAACATGTAAAATAGTGAACAACAACATCAAATTTTTATCCCACTACATGGGGTTGGCTATATGAATCATTTTTCTCCATTGTGTCCCATTAAAGGTCAAATTCTCATTTAAATCTAATAAAAAAAAATGTCATTTTTAATACTTTCTAACAAAGTTTTTTTAAGTCTACCTCCATTTTTCTTAACATAGTCCAAATTTAATACATTTACTCTCCTAACCGGGTCATCGAAAGGCAGACGTTTTATATGACCAAATCATCTAAGGCGGCTCTATATAATCTTATCTACCATTGAAGTTACTACAACCTTTCCACGTACATACTCGTTTTGCATTCTGTCTCTAAGAGTAAAGTCACTCATCCACCTAAGCATCCTCATCTCTACAACATGTAACTTACACTTTTAATGGCCAACATGTTGCATCATAAAAAATTGTAGGTCTCATCACCATCTTATAGAATTTTCCCTTAAATTTGAGAGGAACTTTTCTATCACACAATAGGCCTAACACATTCCTCCACTTCAATCATTCAACTTGAATTATGCTAATAATATTCCCATCTATTTCACATCACTTAGAACAATAGACAAAAGTCACAATCCCCCCACTAGATCTATTACTACTAAAATAACACTCCATGTATTTGATTTTAGATCTACTCAAACGAAACCCTTTAGATTCAAAGTTGACCTCTATAATTCAAGTTTTCCTTAAACTCTATCTCTAGTCTTATCAACAAGAAGAATATCATCAGCAAAAAATAAAGAATAGGATGCATCCTCTTGCAAATGTCTAGTAAGAACATCCATGACTACATCAAAAAGATATGAGCTTAAACCAGATCCTTGATGTAGTCCAACTGAAATAGGAAAATACTTGGTCAAACCAACTTATGTTTGAACACAAGTAACATCTCTTGCACACATATCCTTATTAACTTGAATATAAGCATTATTAACTTATTTCTTTTGAGAGGTAGATCGGCTCTCACACAAACCATAGACACCGCTAGGAAACTATCAAAGAAAAGCTACAACATAAATAACAATTGGATAATCTGAAAACAATACATAGTTAGCCCTAAAAGCCCTAAATAGGCTCCCCTAAATAATGAAAGATACAATTGATCTATTATTTGAGAGGTAGATAGGCTCTCACACAAATCCTAAACACCGCTAGGAAACTATCAAAGAAAAGCTACAACAAAAATAACAATTGCATAATCTGAAAATAATACATAGTTAGCATAACAATACTCGTCCCCCAAAGACGCACATTGTTCTCAAGGTAGAAGGAAGGGTGATGTAATACAATGAAGATGAAACAAGAATTGCGTACACGAAATTAATAAATTATGAACTTTACTCGGCTAAGCATAAATGGATGCGTACTCAAGTTAGATCTTCATAAAAATTCATGGAAGGCTAAGTAACGACAAGCTATTACAATAAAGATTAATAGGAAACTCCCAAAATTACATCATCAAATAAATGAGTAGAGCGAATGGCACGAAACAAAATCAACAGTTTAAAATTTAGATCATTCACCTTGGGATCCCTCACTTACACTCTTGATATCACTCGGCTTAGCGGAGGAAGATTGCAAACAAGCTTAGGGATGCCACTAGTAGACACGTGATGCCAAGGGGGCTAGTCGCCAAGGAAGGAGCCGGCGGTGGGGGAGGCAAGGATCGTCCGACGAGGAACCACGGTGTACTTGGTCGTTGAAGCTCGATAGTCTCGGAGAGGCAGTGAACGATGCGGTTGACGTAGCGTTCTACTGTGCCATTGTACTCCCAATCCGGCCCGTAGAATGGAGAGAGTAGGATGTCGATCTCACCTTGTGCGTTGTAAGCAAAGCCGTGGTCGATCTCAGGATCGGCCATACATGATCATGGAAGGATCGTGGCGTCTTGGTGGTGTTATGGTGGAGGAGCCGTCGCCTGGGAGAGGCGGCTAAGAGGAGAGGAGGGGAAGATGGGGATTCTCGGGTAGGAGGAGGTGGATAGGGGAGGGGTGGCTAGGTTTAGGTTGGATTAGGGAGGATTAATAGAAATCTGAAATTAATTTTCAGATTAAGTGGAATTGGAAAGAAGACTTTGAATTGAAAGAAATAAAGTGGAAGAGATGAATTGTGGGAGATAATTAGGGAATCCTAATTAAGAGCAATTAATGAAAATTGGAGATAGAGAGAATAGAGAGATAGATAGAGAGAGAGAGAGAGAGAGAGATCAAGGAGAGGGGCCGGCCATATAGAGAGCTAAGAGAGAGAAGGTTATGTTAAGTATGTGGGCCCTCAAGAGAATAAACAAAGGTTAAATCAAATTTGAATTTAATTTCATATTTGATCTAATTAGAAAGTTCCCTAAATGGTTTTATAGCAATAGGAAAAAGTTTGAATCCAATCAATTAATTGAATTATCAATAAGGAAACTTTCCTGATTGCTTAGGATGTAAATAGGAAAGAAAATTGATGCACTCGAATTTGAATTTCAAATTATGGGAGCAGGTTGGCCGGCGGGTTGGCTTGGGGACGGTGGGGTGGCGGAGTGGAGGAAGGGAGGCATGCGGCTAGGTGGTTGGCCGGAGGGTGGGCGTCCAAGGAGGCCGGCAGTATAGGGTGGGGGGCTCGGGTTTTGGGAAGAAGAAAAACGGATTTGGGTAGGGAGGGGCCTGCGAGTGATGGGTGAGGAGAGGAAGTTGAAGTTAGGGAAGAAGAGGAGACCGGGGCCGCGAACCTTGGAGTCCTCCGACGGTTAACGAGTCTTACTATCACCCTCCTTGGGTTTCTCCTCTCATGAACTCACTTAGAGATCAAGACAAAGAACATAAAATTTCATTCAATAATTCATCATGTCATTACAATGCAAGATGCCTCCTATAAATAGGCACAAATGAAAGAAAACCAGAAAGACACAAATGCCCTCGGGGCTACAATAGCGACTCACTACCCACAGGGATAAACTACGAAATATAGAAAGAGAAAATAAATAAAATACAAAATATATCAAAAGTACATACTTTGGATCGTAGCCGTCGATCTACGACTCTGACGACGATACACATGTCAAAATCTCGAACATATGTCCTCATCAATGGGAACTATCTTCTGATTGACTCGTAAGGCTCCTATATAGCATCGGGCTCCAACAAATCCTTCCACTTGATTAATACTTCAAGTGCCCATGTTTCTTCTCGCGCACATCTTCTACTCCTAGAGGTTCCAAAATGACCTCTATGTCTTCTATCAAAGTCGGGGGTAGTGAAAATAGTCTGTGATCTTCTAACGCATTCCTCAACTGCAAGACATGAAAGACAGGATGCAATGCTGATGAAAGTGGCAGCCTCAATCGATAGGCAAATGTTCCAATGCACTCCATAAATAAATCCTGCCTCCTGGCTCGAAGTGTACTCTCATGTGTTCATCTACCTTTCCTTTCATGATTTGCTGGGCTCTCAATATATGTTCCTTGAGCTCAAATAATGTCTACATTGGATACTGGTGTAGTGCTTTGTCCATAAAGAATTAAATGCGGTGGGTCTCTCCCATAAAGAATCTTGAAGAGGGTGGTATGTGCTGTGGAATGGTAGAGGTGTTGTACCAATATTTGGTCCAAGAGATCCACTATGCCCAACTCTTTGGCATATCTGATATGAAGCATCTCAAATAAGTCTCTACACTTTTTTTGACTATCTCTATCTAGCCATCAGTCTGGGGATGGCATGACATGCTTCTCTTCAGGACTATCCCCTATAAATAAAACAACTCCTTCCAGAAATAGCCAAGTAACACATTATCTGTCTAACACAATGAATTCTGGAAAGCCATGCAAGCGCAACACCTCTTGTATGAAAGCAGTAGCCATAAAGATCATGATGTAACAATGCTCAGAGGGATGAAGTGTACATATTTGCTAAGAAGATCCACTGCTAAGAGTATAACTGAAAATCCCTCCAAACGAGGCAACCTTTAGAAGAAATCCATAGTCACTTTCTCCCACACCCTTACTAGCAAAGCTAGAGGATGTAGTAACCCTATTGACGTCATGGCTAAGTGCTTATACCTCTAGCACACATCACATCTAGCTAGCCAATCCTCCACATCACGGCGCATCCCCACCCAGTATAGTTTCATTGATAGCCGGTTGTAGGTTTTTTGAACTCCTGAATGTCCTCCTATTGCACTGCCATGAAACTCCTACAATAGCTTGGGAATGCATCTCGACCCCCGAATCGCCCCTGATTTAGTAGTTGGGCGCCCCTCGATGTGTAACCAGGATGACTAGTGTTAAGATAGTTGCTATTTGCATGCTTTAGCAACTGATGGACCGGACCAGCCGGTCCATCCATCTTCAACACCGGCCCAAAAAGGGCCGGCTCTTGTTTACTGCAGGCGGAGAACCCGCCTGCCTGGGCGGTCGGCCGAAGGGAAAGAAGGGGGGCGGGTGGGCCCAAGGGGCCCACCAAATGAATCTGTAAAATTTTCTTCCAGACGAAATTAATAATCGTCCGGGACGATCGGTCCTCTGTAAAAATTTCGTCCAGACGAATAAATTTTCGTCCAGACGAATAAATTTTCGTCCAGACGAATAAATTTTCGTCCAGACGAATAAATTTTCGTCCAGACGAATAAATTTTCGTCCA